AAAAAAAAAAAAAAAAAAAAAAAAATAAAAAAAAAAACACATCTTAGTAAAACCAATACCTTTTCAGCTTCGCATCGAAGCTAAAAGGTAAATTTGTGTATATTATTATGATGTATGACACCCCCCTTAAAAAAATCCTGCGTTCACCATCGCTCCATACGTATAAGTCCATATGGGTTTTCCCCATTATAGTCCTATTTTCATCTGTAATTCATAGACATTTATAGACTTTTTGTTGTTATTTTCGTAAAATTGTTTATATATATATAAAGTAAACTAATTAATATTTATGCTTCATTATTTTTTTAAGAAATTTTAACATGTTTCTGAATAAATGTATGTTATAAATATGAAGTTATTTAACTTTTGAGTCGCTATTTTATGTTGTTAAAAAATTTTGACATCGGTGTACGAAGATTTTTTGACTCACTATACATTTAAAATTTAAAAAAATATTTAAGATATTAATTTAAAACTAACAAATATAAAAAATATTTAACTCAAAGAGTCGCAAAAATTATGGATACGTATTTCGGGAACAAAGTTACAATTAGTAATTCTATATACATACATTAGTCACAAGTGATCAATTCTTATTACATAAATATTCTCTTACTTGTTATAAGAAAATTATTATTATTGAATAATGATAGTTGCTAATTTGGTGTACCTTTTATGCCTTCGTAACATACTTTGACTTAAATAGCAATGAAAAATATAGATGAAAGTTTTTCTTAAAATTGACTATAAGAAAAAAAGAAAAACAAACCGAAATCATAATTTCTGAGAGTTTTAGGCTACTAAACTATCCAATCTTCTTTCCTTTTGCTCTTCTGTCATACTTTGAACTTTCTTACTCTCTATCATTTTTTGAACTTCCTCATCCAACCATCAGGTTTCCTTGTTTACTAGCATTCTACTCTTCTTATCAGCAAATTTATTCCACACATCATTTATGTCTCCCTCGATATTTCACATCGTTCTCTCTTTACAGTATTTAAAAAAATTTTTTCATTATAACCTATCAATTTCCACCACCGGATTCGTGATTTTCCTTCTGTGTTCTTTCTGTTTGTGTATATTTTCTTCTCTCTACACGACAACTCCATTACCATCAGACTATATTGGTAGTTACACTCTCGCCTGGGATAATTTTACAATCTTTTACACGCTTTAAACTATCTCTCTTCCACATAAACTGATTAACCTGTTATTTATTAATCCTACTCTCACAAGTTATATAATGTTCATCTTTCCTTCTAAAATAAGTAATAACCACAGCAGGTCATATTATACCGTGATATCCAGGATTCTTTCTCCAGTCTCATTCTTCCCAATAAAACCATACCCTCTATGTACTCTTTCATATCCTCTTCTTTCTTAACCTACATGTCCATTCATATCTCCATCTATCACCACATCCTCATTACCAGATATTGCCGGAATCATCTCTTCCAACTCACTTCAAAGCAAATCCTTGTATATATCATCATAGCCTACTTTAGGTGCATAAGCACTAACCATATTCAACACACAATTAGAATTATGCCACTTTTCCTAACTACTTCTACTACTTTACTTTTCATCTTCTCAACCATTATTATCTCTAAACCAATCTTTGTATTAGTCTCACATGAATATATTATTTTATAATCCTCACCTATTTCCCTTGTTTTCTCTCCCTACTTCTTAGTTTCTTGTACACAACAATTATTAACTTTTCTCCTCTTTAATACTTCTACTAATTTTTTTATTCTATCAGTTAATATTCCAACATTCCACGTAACTATTTTTACTTTGTATCTATCTTTATCTCTGATAAACGAGTTCAGCTTAGAGTTGAGTGATGATATCCCTACACCGTTTACACAAAAAAGTGCCAAGCTTTAAACATATTTTTTTTGAAAATCCAATCATATAACAAAGTATTAGTTCGCTGATTCCTTTTCGTCATTTCGGAGATAATTAAGAACATATAAAACTAATATGTACTATTTATTATAACATAAGTAATAAATTTATAAATTATTTTACAATACAAAGTAAAATTTTGGGTATAATTTTTTTTTAATCAAGCAAATTTTAAAAGTTTGAATTTGTATAGGTTTAATGAATTCTAAACGTTCCGAAACAGTTTAAAAAGTTAAAACGAAATACTCTACCTGTACTTAGGTCTTTTGTTGGATTTTTGTGAATAGCACATGCAAAGAATATCAACTGTCTTTTATATATTGTATTATAATTTCGTAAAAATTAAATTTTTTTATAAAAAATTATAAAATACAGAAAACAAGCTATAATTTCCTATTATCAACATATGCTTAATTTTGAGATACTTTCCTATATTCTAAAACTGAGGAGTTATTTAAATTTAAATTTTTAATTTTAAGGGTTTAATCTTCAACTTGATCACATTTAGCTGTTTTTGGTATTTAGATCATCGAAATCGGTTCACTTAGAGTTGAACATTTTTATGGACAGACACAAAAAAACACATCGTGGTAAAATCAATACGTTTTTAGCTTTGTATCGAGGTTAAAAATAACTTAACTAATAACATTTTAATATTTTAAAAGATTCTATACTTTCAAATGGAAGTTGGCGGCACAATGGACAAGATTCTTTTATATTAATCCAGTTATCTATACATTTAAAATGAAATGTCTTCCGACAACATGTAACTTTAGACAAATCTATTGTTATTTCTTCTTTACATATTGGACAATCTAAAAAAAAAAATATGAAAATAAGACCTGTATTAGAGTTGATTTATTTTTTTAGTGGTAAAACTAATTTAAGGGGAGTCATAAAAAATATACAATAAGATAAAAATGTATAATAAGAAAATAGATCTACACTATAAATAAAAGTAAATTTACTAGAGCTATAAAATTGATCGCACTCATGTGTATGAAAAAAAAGACGCCGGACAGTTTACTATTACAAATTAGAACGAATAGTCATTAATGATTAACTAATAATTGGATTTGAAAAACTTTAACTTAAAATATAGATTTGGAAAATGTTTAAGTATTTACCTTCTAGTTCCTTTGAGCGTTTAAGAACATCAAATACGGTCATTACCATTCCACATTTTTGTAAAACAACTAATAAAATGATATTTGAAATGAATATTTTCTGAAAAATAATATCGAGTGAGACGTTAGCGTAAAAAAATATTATGACTAATTGAATGGATTTTATGTAATCAAATTAATAAATTATTAATATTTAAAAATTTTTGTTTTTATTTGTCTGAACTACATTTAAGATTAAACATTTATTAGTATTACTAAAGAATACTTTATTTTATTAATCAGTAAGGTCCTAATTTTTATGTGATAAGAGAGGAAGAGAATCTAGTAATTTTTTTAATTATATTCTTTCCTCTTTTATGAGCTAGTTAAATATGTATGTTATCATTTTAAAAAAACCCAGCACAGTGGGTATGTGGCATAGTTGGGTTCAGTATAAATTTAATCTGACAGTGAATAAAATCACTATCATAAAAAACTCATGTCGAATGAAAGAAGTATATAAAGTATAAAAAATATAATAAATAATTTTTTACAAAAATCGTATTTTTTTTTTTATTAATTTTGATATTTGTTTTCAACATGAGAACAAAATAAAGTTAGAAATTTTTTTTTTCATATTAAAGTATATTACAAAAGTTTTAATTTAATATATATATAAAAGTGTCAGTATTTCCAGAACATTTTCAAAAGTTAAGTTGACAAAGTACCGCTTTCTATATGTATTTTTAAGTTTTGAATCTCCCATGTATAAAGGGAAATTGTCCGATTTAAAAAAAAAGTATGTCGAATGAAAGAAGTATATTAATAGTATTTCTTGTAAAAAAATGTCTAAAGAGTCTAGTTTATTATTAGTTGATAAATCAAAATATATTTATAACTCAAAAGAGCTAATACATACATATATTGGACCATCCCCCCTGAAAATATATTCTCATACTATACGGACAACTATAGTAAAACGAACGTGGTTAATAAGTTGTTATGAATCTATATTTTTTTATGGAAGGTTTTCATACAAACAGTGTGCATTGGTTATATTTACTTTACCATAAGTTATTTTTAACCATGTTTCTATTCGAGTCTAAATATTAAATTATTCATAACTCATCAAATATTAATAATAAAACTCAATATAGTGATGAGATTATATTTTCAAATAAAATAAGACTATATAATAGAATTATTTGCTAGTAAATTTTTTGACTTACCATATTAAAATTCTTTATAATTTTCAATGTTACAATATAAAATGATTTATTTTACCAATCGCAATTGTATTTTATAGAAAAATTTAACTTCATTTTATTTATTATTTTAACTTATTTTAAATAGAAACTTTATTGAGTCAGTACAAGCGAAAATATTTAATGACATATTAAATTTGATTTATATTTTTATAAATTACATTATTTTTTACATTTATGAACAATAAATTACAGATATATAGTCAATGCCAACCAAGCAAAACAATTTAAAAAATATATATATTATTTTTTCTAAAACTTTTTAAATTTTTTTTTTCAAAGAAGCACAATATATGCTTAAAATACAATGTGATTTATCAAGAATAATAATAACAATATTTTTATTTAATCAATGATATTTTCATTAAAATTCACAGAATAAAGTTTTTTTTTTATTTTTTTAATATGTCTTTACCTATCGTTTGGTTTTTTTTTATAAATCTAACCCTTCACCTTCCCACAAGAGGGATTCAAAATAATAATTTTATTTGTTTTTTGTTAAAGTAAATCATTAAAATTAATTCAGTTCTGGATATTTCAATTGTAGAATATTTTTAAATACCAAAAATTACTTAGAAATTATTACTATGATTTCTATTTAAGTGTTCTATTACTTCTATTAAAATGCAAAAAAATAATGAGTTTTTCTGATAAATATACAATAAATAGTAATTATAAAATTTCCTGACTGCATATTAGTGCATATTGCTTAAAAATAGCAGTTTTAANCTACAGATTTGCATCGAAGCGTTTCTTATGATAGTGATTTTAATCACTGTCAGATTAAATCTATACTGGACCCTACTATGCAATGTCTCCACTATGCCGCGACCTCACTGTGCTACCGTTTTTTTTACTATAAACTTTCACAAAACTTGCCAAAAATTTTTCATCAACTTTGAAAAACCAAAAAAATAGGTTAAAAATGAAAAATTTTTTTTTTTATTATAAACTTTCACTTTAAAGGACGAAATAAAGAAGGTTAAAAATTATTACTTTTAACATATTAAAAA